ATCACTGGTATCTAAGTCTTCCGTTGTGCTATCTTATACTTTGTATTGAAAGGTCGGTTCTTGTTCTGGTCTGCACGTTACAGTATGCAACACAACGTGACTTGTGTGGGCTGCGACTTCCTCCGAACGCGTGGCCCCAAGCCATTGCGTACAAGAAAATCGTGGCCCATATACTTGCGAGTGCTTCCGCAATCGATGAAACCGCTGCAGGTCGCCTCTCCGATCTGAATGCGTATGGACAACAATGGCACGTCGATGTCGTCGAACCGTTGTGTCTTGAACTCGCGGTCGATCTTCGCAATGTAGTCGTGAAGGTCGACAACCTCTACTACGGCGTCCATCAACGGAGTTGGTACTGCAGTGTGCAAGTAATCCTGCAATTGTGCCTTGAGCACGTTGCAATGCGGTTTCGGCAATCGACCAGTCGGGGGAACAGGCATCCATTGGAAGTCCGTGAACGTCAACGGGTCGATCTCTTCAAGTCTTGACCATGACGTTGAATCCCCGGCGATAGATGGCGGCGAAGCTGCCGAATCGGTTGCCGATGGTGGTGAAACCGTGCATGCGGTGGATTGTTGCACGTGGAGTGGTTGGTCCAACGGTGGGACCAAGTGGACAGCGTAATCGTCTTAAGATTACCGAGGACTTGCGACATGCGCCTCCTCCCCAGATGTGTAGGAGGCCGCTAGCAAGGCGGCCAAATCTGGTGGAGTGAGAGGTGGAGTCGCCTCACCTCCCACGCAGCTCAGTTTCCAGAGTTGTGGTACTGGCTGTCCATTTCCGGCGGGCGATGCGGTTTTCGCCTTCCCTTTTCCCGGGAGTTGTTGTTGCTTCGTGGCTGGATGGCGGCCACCTGATCTCCCTCACATGATGTGTGGGTGGCTGCCGGGTCTTCCACAATGGTGTCCGGTTGGACTGCAGCGACATGCTGGGGACTTGGACCAAATTTTCCCTTCTCCACATGGGCTGGCTGCCACACTGTCTTCTCGTGTGCAGCAGCCTGGTTGGTCTTGATGAGCTGTCGGAAGGTTCGAAATGCCGGAACTTGAGCTTTTCGATGCTGGAGGCTTCGTGCCGCTGTAGCAGATCCTGGGCCTCCTTGCGGTGTGCCTGGGTATCTGCGTCTGCTTCGGCCTGAAGCCGCTGCTTTTCAGCTGCTGCCTTTGCTTCAGCCTGTAGGCGGGCAGCCTCGGCTGCCCTGACACTGTTCCTCAGCCTTGATCAATGCGAGCTGAGCTTAAAACCGCTGTCGGTACTCGGTAATGGACTCATTGGCCAGTTGGCCTGGCATGCCTAGAACTGAGACCGTCATGGTGGCGGGGCACTGATGACGTGGCACTGCTGACGTGGCTCTCTTGCTGACGTGGCACTATTGCTGACATGGCACTGTTCCTGATGTGGCACTGCTGATGTGGCACTGTACCAAGCCGGGGATGCAGGCAAAGGGTTGGGTGGGAGGGAAAACGCAGGTAGGTAACCAACCAAGCTATACTTTGCTCCCAGTCCTAATCAACAGAAAAAAATAAAAAAATAAAAGAAGCGGATCACCCTCCTTTTTTTTTTTTTTTTGTATATTTGTCAATCTGTTTTGAGTGAGGCATGTCCTAGGAGTACTATGAGCGAGATCTAGGCCGGGTTCCGCAAAGTTTCGGCTTTCACAAAAATGCTATCTTGAAAAAAAATAATAATTTGCGAAATAGAGTAGAGATGCGATTTTCAGAAAAGAACTAAATCCGATTTCTGAGAATATGACAACCTTGTAATAACCCTGTTCAGAAGTAGCCTGGGGCCCAGAACTCAGCCCCAGGCCACGCAGACCTGAGTAGGTCTGCGCTGGGCTGTGTGACTAAGACACGCCCAGGCCTGGGCCTGTCGAGTGTGGCTGTGTGACTGAACGCTGCACACAGGAAATTCAAGAGTCAAAGTCAACCGTAGAGTCATAGGTACCGCACCCAGGCCCTTGGTTGGATACACTCACTTGTTGTGCGCAGGTACCCAGACAGCATCCAGGCCAGAGGGAATTCGGTTTCAGGCCAATCTGAGCCCTCGTTCGCATTTAGATCTGGACGGCTGAGGAATACAACATCCGGGGCCCAGACCCCGCGTCAACACTACATAAGAGTTGACTTCCTGGCTTTGAGATTCATGCTGTTTCGCGTTGACGCTGACTTCACGCGTTGACTTTGACGCTGGCTCGACGCTGCGACGCTAGCATTGTGACTTGGCGAGGCGTTGCTAGTATCGGCATGGTGGCCGGCTTACTCCTGTCTTCTTGGCATGCTGGCGTGGCAGCTGCCATGCGCTGTCGCTGATGTGGCTGCTGCCACGTGTATTATTGGCTGACGTGGCTGCTGGCACGTGTTTTGTGGCTAGGACTATGTGATCGGCATTGCTGTTCTACTTCATCGTTACTTCAGGAGGAGATGAGGACTGTGGGAGAGTTCGTGGATACGTACCTGGTTGTCTTCATGTTGATAATGCTCCATTGCTGATGTGGGACTAATTAGATGTGCAATGTGGCACATTGAGCATACTTAAGATACTCGTTCAGACTATTGATTGTTGAGGTGGCAGCAGAGGAGGGAGCCCAAAGCAGGAGTGGGCATTGCATTTTCCTTTCCTTTGTCTCTTCTCCCCCTTCTCTCTTCGTCTGTGTATGATTACCTCATCCCATTCCGTCTGGTTACGATTTTGACTAGTAATCATCAGCTGATGGACATTTATCTGGGCTTGCATTATCGACAAATGTCTCACGATCTGGGTTCATTGCAATTTGGTATCGGAGCTAATCTCCTGATGACGACATTTGTACATTGAGTACGCGCCAGGTGGCGCACAGGTAAGTAAGGTTGAGTAGGTGATGACGTGGCAAGGGATGCGCTAGGGGTGTTGACGTGGCACATACCTCTCTGGCGAGAAGACATTGCCGGGGTTTGCTGACGAAGTACAGATCCACTAGCGAGAAGACATTGTCGGGGTTTGCCGACGAAGTATAGATCCACTGGCGAGAAGACTTGACCGGAGCAGCTGACGGGGTATAGACTCCGCTGTCGAGAAGACATTCCAGGTTGTTGACGTGGCAGTCGGGCTCGCGACAAGGGGTACCTCACGCCACAGCCAGGATCGCGATAGTGACGTGGCATCGCGATCCCCTGATGATGTGGCACATATAGTGCGGCGTCTCCAGATCCTGTTGATTGCTGATGTGGCACTTCTCGTGCTATTGATAGGCGACAGGGTCTACTGCAGATGCTGACATGGCTTGGAGGAAGAAGATTGATTGCTGATGTGGCAGGAGCAGGTCATCACACCTGTCCTATGAGGTGGTGTCTGTCTGCTGACGTGGCATGAACTCCTTGGCTGACGTGGCATGATCTGACGTGATGCTTGGAAGAGGCATGTGGCGAGGATCAGACTACACATTTGTTGACGTGGCATCCCGTTATTGATAGATTGGACACTGTGGTACAGAGTGCTGACGTGGCAACATTTGCTATGTTGGCACTCCAGGGATGACACGTGGCAGGCAGGATACTGCCAAGTAAGAGCAGCACTCCGAAGATGACGGCGGTACGGCTGATTGAATAATTAGACAGTTGTAGTGCCAGTTGTCACAAGGGGTGCAACATCGCTTGGATACCTGGATTGACTCAGCAGGAGGAAGAAGAGTGTTGACAAATTGTTTTGTTGATTGTTGGCATACTTGTTGTTTGTTGTGTTGTGGTTCTTGCGTACTTACTTGTGTGTGTGTCTGATCACACGGGTCTAAAGTGGTACCTGTACACTCTCGAGTAGGACGTCATCACACAAACAAAGAACATCAACGGTTAGAAATAGAAATAATTGTATCTGATTCTTTTTCTTTGGTTCTTTGAAATCTTGTTGTGGTAGATCAGTGCGGCCGTGGAATTTATTATTGTTAACTGAGTATTTATTGTGCGGCAGATGCACGTCACGATGTCTTTCCTCTGGAATTCTCTGAAATTGTCGGTGCTCACACGTTTTATCCCACTTCTTTTCTACCCAGTCTCACTCATGTTTGTTGTGGATGAGGAGACTCCTGACCCCCGAACGAAGCAGCAAGTGAAAGAGCGGAAACAAGTCTTACTTGCCCGTTTGGACAAACTGATTTTTGAACTACATGATGCCGGTGAGGACGCTGAGGCTCACTTCCGAAGCCTGTTCGATTTAAAGGCATTGCATAATGCTATCGAACTGGCTGTGACAGGCACCAACATCTTGCAGGTTCAGGATATACTAATCAAGTGTCGTCAGGCACTTGATAAGTATATCATGGATCAACTTTCCAAGATCGCTGAACAGAAAGAAGAAGGAGAAAGGGATGTCTTTGAAGTTGTAGAACATGCTATCGAACTGGCTGTGGATGAAAACATCAGACAACTTAAAGAAGCTAGAGAAGGAGAAAAAGAGGAAAGAAGAATTAAGAAAGAAAAAGATTGAACAACAAGAATAGAAAGTTCAAGAAATTAGACAAACTGTTGTTAAGACTGAAGGAGAAGAACATGAAATTTTTTTGGCTCAGCTTGTAAATAACCTTGCCCATCTGGAAATGAAAATCGGTCAGTATAGTGAACGGATGCAGTCACAAATCGATGATGTGGCCGCAGGACTCCGGACAGTTATCTGATCAATGGAAAGGAAAAGGTCAAGGAAGAAAAGATTGAAAAGCCAGAGAAACTAATGGGAGATGCAATGAAGTCTCTTAAAATAGAAACTCAGAAACCGGAACAAAAGAAATTGGAAGAGAAGAAAGGAGAGCCTTCGAGTCCGCCGAAGTCTCCCGGAGGAAGCAAAGTCACGACCGCACAACCTGAGAAACCAAAGAAGAAAGAAAAAGTCAAAATGAAATTGCCTTTCACGTTTTGTAATAAGAAAGACGAAAATCTGCTTTTGTGGATCGCAGAGATTCAAACGTACTGTAGCACGGCCCCTGTCGAACCTGAATCCCAGGTTGCATTCTCTACCTCTTGTCTTGGTGAGGAAGCTAAGGAGTGGGTTTTGACCGAAGCCAATGCCGCAGTGTTCGATGACATCGGGGAGTGGGCTGGAACTTTGAACCTCAAACAGTTCCTTGGGAAGATCAAGGAACCGTTTTTGGACAAAACGACGGCCGACAAGGCCTTTGACCAGCTCACCACGATTGGTGAAAAGCATTGGACCTCTGTGGAGTCGTTATCCCGGGAAGTTGATCGGTTGCTGCAGGTTCCGGGATTGAACCTGCAAGACAACCAGGCCTTGTACATCTATTCCCGTGCTCTGCCCGAGCCCATCCGTGGACAACTCGTGGTAGAGTCCAAGTCTGGTAAGTATAATTATAGGCAGTTTCAGGATCTGGCTCTCCAACGAGGGCAAATGACTTCTCAGGTTAAGAACTCTTATGCGTTTGTTGTGAAGTATGGTGGTGGTGCAGGAAGAGGTAAGCGGATACTTCGGCGCCAAAAGCGTCAGGACCACACCCTTGTCGTCTTTGACGACGATACCGTGGAGAAGTGACCATTGGAGGCCAAGGGTGTGGCAAGCAACAGTGATTCCGGGAAGGGGGAAGTCACTGCTGCCGTGGTCAACAGGGGAGGACCACGACCGCCAGTCAAGAAGAAGAAGCCACGCTCGTTCCCAGAGCACCCCGGAATTGCGGTCGGGAAGCCTTGGGAAAAGATGGGCCTGTCACAAGAAACGTGGCAGGAACGAATGGACAACTCGCAGTGCCTGAAGTGTGGCATTGCAGGGCATGTAATTGCATGGTGCCCGTTGATCCGGAACCCAAAAGCGAGCCGCCAGTAGGAGTAGCATCTGCTCCTACTGAAACGGTATTCACCAATTCGTGGTAGCTGAGGTAGATCCCAGGGCTCGATCCCTAGTTCCCCAACTTACCTGTGTACAATACCTGCGTCAACTCGAAGAGTTGAACCTGCGACCTGTAGAACCGCCAGTGGTAGGTAGGTCTGTCGTAGGTCTATAGGTAGCCAGGATTCGATCTGTAGACCTATAGACTAGAAGGCTAGCTGCAGTCCTTC